TATAATTTACAATGATATTGCATACGCCACCCGAAATGCCAATTACTGGCAAAGAAAAAAAGTTATATTAAGCAACCTCGAAAGCGCACAGAAGCGGCCGTCATTCTGTTAACCAGCGCACACTGTTATGCTACTCACTATCTGTCACAGAACAGAATTAAATTTCCAATAAGATGGTCCAAATGACTGATCTTTAAGGCTATTAACGAACAGACTGATTGGAATGATGTCTGTTTTTTCAATATCGTCCTGAGTATCATTACTCATGAGCCAGATATCAATACGTCGTTGAATAATTGGATTTCTTTTTCCCCAAGTAAACTGTCTTTTATCCTGGTTACGTACTCTCCATATATCGAAAAGGTTATACTCAAACATTATGTCTTGAATGTTTGTTACTGTAACAGTTGATTTCGTTTCAATTTTACCTCCATAGTTATCAAGGGCAGCATCAAAATGAATGTTGAAATCTCCACCGATGATGAGTTTACGTCCTGTATCAAAAGCGATAGTTTGAATAGCGGATAAAATTTCTTTGAAGAAGGGTGCCTGTTCATTCATAGTTTAGTCGGAGCATATAAATTGTGCAAGAGAAACGGAGAGTCTTGGATCGTCGTCTGTAATAGTACAAAATCGGCCATTGTTGTCTCTTATGCTGGTGTTCTTTATTCGTACTGTAGCCGATTATTAATCAGCACAAGCACTCATTCACTTTGGTTCGAGTCATAACTGAAAATCATTTCTCCATGCCATTGGAATTTCCAATCATTATGATTTCTGGTGTGCTATATGTTTCTTGAAGAAACGTTATGTCCGTTTTCTGTTTTTCGAAAAACGTTACGTTATGAAAGTCTGCGGTATCTAAATGTTTCGTAGCCTGTCTTTGGGGGAGCGTGACTCTGACATAAGCTAAACGTTTTTCACTGTTTCGTAACATAGGGTAACTGTCAGATAGATTTTCATCGTAATATCTAGATTTAGCGAAGCCTAAAAGCGGAGCTCCCGTAAAATACTTATCATCTTCTCGACACAATAACCTTTAAAGATATTCACCAATAAGTATTTTACCATTAAATTATTGTTAAAATAGATTTGACTTGTGAGCCTTTTCATAGATAGATTTTCTGCAATAAACAAAACCAATTTTAAAGCTATGCTTAAATTTATTCATGTTGCCATAGCAACGACACGTATGTCAGTTTAACTATCAAAAACCTGAAGTTAGTGTTGTTAGCTTACGTTTTGTCCTTTGAGGACAAAAGGATCAAGGATTTTAAAGAAAAAGGTGAATGAAACACAGGTATCAAAAACTGTGTTCATTTAAGATTGATTAAGCCAAGAAATGCATTTAGAAAGCGAAAAATGTCCGAAATTTCAACGAGTTTTATTATTCACGTTAAAGCGTAATTTGATTATTTTTGCCGGCGGCATTGCAGTCATTTTATCGGCGATAGCTTTACCGCTCTATTACCAAAAACCTATGAAGAAATTCACTGAATCATTTCACCAAACCGAATATATTGAAAAAAAAAAAAAAAAACGAGGTTATCCCAATACTTTGTAAAAACAATATGCAAATCACCACTACATCAAATGGTTTCTTGAGCTTTCGTTTCTAATAACAAAAAAAAAAAAATGAAATTTTAGCAGTCTACGAAGCGGCTGTCCCTACTTAAACAAACATTAAGCTTATATCGTCGGAAAACCGTAGAAGACTATTTGTTAGCAATAAGCTAATGCAACTTACAACAACTTCGACAAAGTAACTCACGCGTAACTGTTACAGTTATTGCTTAGAGATTAGCGAAATTCAAACAATGAAACTTATCAGGAGCCATAATGGCTTCTGAATTTATAAAATGTCTAACAGCATGGTTTCAACTCAGGTAGACTTTTATTAGAACTCTTGTTGAAGATAAGCTTATCTCGCCTAAGCAACTTGATAATAATTTTTATAGAAAACGGGAGAAAGTTTCTACAACAGAGTGGCTTACCGCAATTTGGGGATTGCGAATTAATCTTCCCCGCAGAAACTTCCAGCAAAGGTTGCGAAGACTGAACTGAATAATCATTCCTACACCATCCTCTATTCATGGTTCGTTCCGCTCCGCGTCGTTCCTCGCTTACATTTCGCCTCCTTTCTCTAGCCTTCGCTCGCTTTGCCTCACGGCATTGTTTGGTATTATTTCATCTCCTTTCTCTAGCTCTGACTTCCTCAACTTCACGACATTGTTCAGTACTGTGTCACCTCCATTCTCTAGCCCTCACTTCTTTGTCTGTTCATTCTTAACTCTCTGCCGTTATCTTTCACGTTCTGCTTCAGTTAAACTCTGTCTTGAAAACTTGACATCAACTCCGCTATCGTTTGTTGACATAACAATAGAAATGAGTTTCCTTTTTCTAAATGGAAAACTTTTGTTTTCGGGAACCCCTAAAAAAGACTCTGTCTTTCAACATGGTTTTTAATTTTCATGCTATTTCCCGCCAGAAAAACGCGGGCTCTCCAAAAGCGTACGCGCGAGTTCCCCCCCCAAGAAAAGATGGCATTTTTGAGCTCCCCTCCCTCTCCCCCAGAGTCTTCACGGACGGTCGAACGTTGACGGTAAAACCGAATGATTTGATCAAGTCTTAGCCTAGACTTTCTAAAAGTCCTTTCCAATAATTCTTCCCACACCCGTTGACTTACGTCGCCCGCGCTCGCGTCTTTGTCGCTCGACGATTTCCCTCTCGCTTTGCTCGAGGAAGATAAATAAATCAAGAATAGAGAAAAGGTCGACTAGTCTGAGCGCTCAAGCCACAAAAATAACCTCTCCGATACTCTGATAAGTAGGCTAATGCCTAGCTCAATCACCTCAAAAACGCTAGTAAATGTAGGAAAAGGGTTTCTCTATTTACAGTAACAGTTTCTTTTCGAAAATGAAACCCAGAACGGAAATATGAAGAAAAACGTATGTTTTGACGCTTTGTTTCTGATTACCCATAATGCCCCTTAAAGCGTGAACTCCTGTAATTCACCTCGGAGACCCAGGGGCAGTTAGCAGGGGCGGGAGGAAATGAATCCGGCAAAAATCGACGCTTCAAGTTTTGATAGACTACAAGTAGTCCCTCTTTCACTTAGTACGTCGAGTGAGACCGTAAATGAACCGCGAGGAAAAAATGTCCGCGTGAAATCCTTGGGGCATTTTTTTTTCTCGCGGTTTTCTTTCGTGTCTCGCTCGTCGGGCTAAACGAGAGAGGGACTAAAAGTGCCGAATTTAAGTTTCCATAAACTGAATCTGCTGCACGCGGTTAGCTCAGTTGAAGTAATGGGAAACTATGCAAGCAGCATGGATGAGAACTTGATCATCTGGCATAGGGTACAACACGTGGCTACGAAGCGAAGAACTCTTATGCAAACTGGGCTGAAATGACTCATTTTCACTCGCCTAGTAAGGGACTGGCGCGAATAGTTATTTAATTACTACAACGAATCTTTATTTTGCAAAATACAGAAAAGAACTATGATTTTGACAGTGGTCTTATATAAATTTTACTTTGTTTTTATACACGGCTTCCTTGTAAAGCAGGTTTTTATCATTTCTGTTATTCTAGTAGTTATTTACAATATTAAATTAGTTAGGTAGTTAGATTTATTTAAATTAAATATTGTATAGTCCTGAAGGAAATACCGTGTCTAAATAAAGATTTTACCTTACCTTTAATCAATAATATTTCGCTAAACAAGAGGCGAGGCCGAGTGAGCGGCGTGTTACAGGTGTCCTCTCCCTTTCCCCATAAAATGGAACTCGTGGCCTTTGAGCCTTACAGTTTTCAGAACAAACAGTTGCGAGAAGGGAGGGGTGGGTGATAAGCCCCTTAGCCCCTCCCCTAGATCCGCCAATCCACCATAGGAAAAACGATGCGGCTGTACATTTTACCATAATACCTTGCAAACCTAACACAGCCTACCGTATACGGCACAAAGAAAGCCAAATTTTTACAATAATTGTCCCAGTACTAACGACAATGAGTAGCCTAGGTTTGAAGATTTTATAACGATTCTGTACGTTTTTATGAGCGTTGTTAAGCTTTTCGTATGCTAAGAATTATGAGTAAATGTACCAGTCGCCATCTTTTTTTTTCCCTACGGAGGACTGTAGGTGTAGTTCCGAACTTAAGTCCTTCGTCGGAACAAATTAAAGTAAAACTACAGACACCTGGTTTTGCGCACTACTAAAGCACAAAAATATAAAATATAAAAAGGGTCTACTATAAATGTTGTATTACAAAAATAAAACACATACTTTCTCTTTTAGATAATTAACAATACTCTGAAGATTTATCTAAAACTCTATTTTCGTTATGTTAAAAATATACAATTTATAGCTTTCGAAACTAAAGCATATCTAATTTTTAAAATCATCATAGGCTATCATTAAGCAATTTTAAATTGTTTAAACTATACTTTTCTGTTCAGACTTGTCAATATAAATTTGGTACCCTGATAATGACAATAATTTTCGTTTCTTGATCACTTTAAAATGCAACGAGAATCTATGTGAAACCTCTTTTTTCCCCTTACAAGTTAAGGAATTAAAAACTAGTCTGTCTTCTTGAAGATCATACAATCGCGAACTTAACTATTTATACACCATTTTGGTTGTGCCAACTCTTACAGTTCTTGAAAGTTTGAAGCGAGTCTGCACATAATATAAGTGAAAACACACGAATATCGAGTTTGACTAAATCACGGTTTTGTTATTCCAAACAGACGTCAACAGCAACACAATGTCAAAATTAGTTGCAACCAACGACCAAGCATGGAATATCCCACCAAAACAAAGTTGCGCTTAAGGTCTTCCTAATTACAACTTTAATAATTGAACCAGCTTGTTCGGTCTAGATGGCCGGATACTGGCCTCGTTCTTTTTTTTCCGTGTTTATGGACCTCGAGTCCGACTCGGTCCATAAACATGCAAAAAAGAACTTGGCCAGTATCCAGCCATCTTGACCTCACGCTTGATCAACAACCCATATATACAAAGTAAAATAATTTGAAAATTCATCGTTGCCACAGACATCACTTTTCAAAATTACCTGAATAATCCCTCACTTTCCACTGATAAAAGTATACTTTCCTCATCCACATAAATAGGAAATGTCATATACAGACGCGGCCTAAAGCCTGTCCCTACAGCTGTCCTTTCTACCCATTCATTTGAGCTGACAAGTTTCATCAAATTCACCATCTTCATCAAGGTGAAACAAAGTTAAGATCACAGTAAACCGAACTGCTTCTTCTTAGCCTTCAAAATTAAATCAGCGGTGTTATAATTTCAATTTTCCCTGGCTTTTGTTGAAAATGCCAGTTTCCCCGACTCAAAATAAGATTCCCTGACTTTTACCTGACCCCTTGAATATATTTTCCCCTGACCATTACCTGACTGTGACAACCCTGAAATTACTTTTAACCATGTCATGTACTAATTCATAAAGTTAAGTGTACTGTATTGCTGTGCAATTTAGTTGTTTCATGCCTATTTGTTCACTGTCGCATGTAAATGGAAAATAGGAACTGAAAAGCAACGACAGCAGCAAATTCTTACAATAGACACATGGATGCTGAGGAACTGGAACCACCGTTATACCAGCAAACTAACGGTACTTCTAAGTGCTTCCTACCTCATAATTATAATACTATAAATTATACCAATCTAATTTACTACTAACCATCTACAAAAGTAGAGGAGAACGCTTTCTATTTCACTTTAATAATACCAAATACCAAAGGAAAATAGTTAGAAAACAGGTTCATGCAAACTTATTTTATACTTCACATCAGAGTTGAACTCTGCATTCCTCTGACTGTTTAACAGTCTGCGAAGTTTGCATAGGTGTTGAATGAGTCCAGGTATGCTAGGATTGTCTGGTAACAGAACATGTATTGTTCCTAAAAAAAATGAAAAGAATTACCGCCTTAGCTTAAGAGTGATTTAACAATTTTCTAGTGTCGAGTTTACTCAATGCAAAACCAAAATAATTCTGCAAATTCTTTCCCTTAACTGATGCAACTGTTTCAACATCAGTAACAACGACTGAATGGACCTAAATATAATAGCTAAGGGAGGGATCAATTGACTTTTGAGGGGAGGGGAGATTTGGTATAGGCAGGAATTTTTTAACACTTTCATGCACTAGAAATTTTTTGTTCTCGGATGGTGTATATGCAAGAAATGCTGTTTTCGGCTAACTGAAAGTGTGTGAATTTTTTTCGGCAGTGGTCGTCTGCAGGAACGTTCTTTTAGTACAACTACGCTTGCAGGATAATTTTTCAAAATTATTCACCCTCTACCGGTCAAAAGTCAAATGATCCACCCCCTAAAAACGCCTTTTTGCAGGTTAACGTGTCACTCTAAGTTAAACCAAGAAAGGAAGATCTCAGGAAGCCACTCCTTCATACGTCAACCTCTACATGTAACAATGATTTTTTTTGACTTTTATTTACAAAGAACAAACAACCACCAGCCTATTTTAAGGAAATGCCAGGTTAAGTTAGCGCTGTCACGCAGTACTAAACATCGTGACATCAGACGGCGTTTTCGCCAGACGCTACGTCACAATAATACACGAAAATTCTGACTGTTACTACGAGTTATGAGGTCACAAGTAACAGGTACCAAGAATGCTTTCCATTATGCAAAACCGACCGGTCAGAGATCAGTGGGAATACACGAGGAAAATGGAACGACATTTTCCGATTAAACCGGGCCAACCAATAGGAATGGCTCTTGCCATTTTTTAATTCCTTTTCCGAATTCCCTAATTAGGGGAAAGAACCAGTTTGTCAAAAATGGAACGGCGAATTTCGGTAGCAATATTCCAACTGAAATAAGTGGACCATCTCCAGAGGTGATCCTGAATATTCCGGTCGGAAGAAACCGAAACGGACCTTTCCATTTGAATTCCGACCGAAATTTCCGGAATCTTTGGCAAAATGGAAAGCACCCCAAGTATCTCGTGGTGCAAAACTAATAATAGGTTTCACAAAATCGTCATAGGGCCCTGGTTAGACTAAATAGCAGCTTACCAGAGTTATGACAGCACCAGGTCTCTTGGCTCGAATCAGCTTAACAGTCTGAAACACATCAACTGTTTGTTCACTCTTGACTCGTTCTATCACTGACATTATGGTGGACACACAGCCACTGCGACCAACACCATCACTGAAGAAAATGAAATTCCATCATAAAGTGAATATTAAAATATGTAAGGTAAAACGCATAGTTATAAACTAATGTTGAACTCAAAACTCTTATACTGGAAGACAAAAACGTTGGTTTCCTATGCAGACGGAGGCGCTCTTTGGGAGTTTGGACTCGTCACGCAATCTTTTCTCTCTAACAAACATTCATGGTGGGGGGTGGTGTTACATGTTTTGCACAACCTTTCTCTTAAACAGCACGCACTAAGTCATGAGGTAATACGATGCGGCCTGTGGGACGGGAACAGCTTAAAATCTACTATTCACCTGCACTGAAAAACAATGACGCCATTTCCGGTTTGTTGCTGTGAATGCTGTATGGCAGTCAACAGTTCAAGGATTTCCTGGGTATCTGGGCACGAGTGAGAGTTGGCCCATCCAGTGAACTGTAAATGGTTTACAGTAGACGTCTTCTTGGGAGGCTAAGAAGTAAAACAAGAAATAGCAATGTTAAGTTTCTGGGTTTTCTTTGGTTAGTATTGTTCTTCTTTATCTTGCTCTACACCACATGTCAATTTGTACTTTAGTGATGAGAGTACATAAATATTTAAAAATGTCTTTGGCCACGTGTAAATGTTGAACTCCAATAAGAGACTCAATCGGTTCAATTAAGCCCTCTGTTTGAATTTTTTTGGCTGACAAGTTTACTGACGTTTTATCAAGGCAAAAGAGCTCCTTATAGCTCTTATTTGCTGGCAGTGGACAGATAGCTATCGGCTTGTTAGAAGACCTGACCTACACGATTTGCTATTTGCTAGACAGACGTTTGCGCGACAGTATTTGAAAATAAAGCACGTTGTTGATGAAGATGAGTAATAGCTGTTATACATGTCAACATCAGACTAGCTAACTTCACCACCAAGACTCGCTTTGAAAATGCAAATTGAAAATTTTATCACGAACAAATTCCAAAAGCTGCAAAGATAGAAGGTACGTAGAAGTGAAAACAACACGACGGTGCGAGAAGTTTGAGAAAATTTCGCGCAAGAGGCTCGGGGTTGAATTTCGTGCATGTGACGCTATCATGCATAAGATCTATAAAAGCGGCCTTGATTATCTACCACTTATATTGACACAGAGCACATGGGTGTGTCATCTCACTTTTAAAAGACATCTCTTCTAAGGAGCAAATCATACCTCTGCATTCGATACACTAAACTTCCTGGTTGTGATCTTATCTGAAGTGTTTTCCGACAGAATCTGTATCGTGATGTCTCCATGCTTGACCTGAGAACTTTCTGCGGGCCAATACTGTGGATAACTCTAAAGAGATACAGTAAAAAGAAAAAAAACGACAACAATAAACGATGAACCATTTAAGAAATTTAACTGATTAAATGATTTGGAATACTGTTGGTATGGCCCCAAGGAGACAGGATCTTGAATGTTGAATTGAAGGATTTTATGTTTTAAAAAGACAAACAATTTCGACTGTTTGTTGATTTCAGATTTCAGATTCAGATTTTTTTATTGTTATGTACTATTTCTATTATTATTACCAATCAATCTATATATAAATATGACATAATATTAACAACAAGAACACACAGAAACAAAAATTACAAGCCTGCAAACCTTCAAGAAAGACAAGAAAACAATTGAAATACTGTGGTACACATATTTGCTTGTTTTGTCTTTTCTTACTAAGATTATGTCCCACAACTTAAGTTCTCGAACGGTTCAGTTAAATACCTTTAAAAGCAGGTTTACGAATAATAAAGAATACCTGCTACACGTAGATATTTTGTTAAAAAAAGGTATATAACAACTAACACGAATATTTCCAATCTACGATAGGAATCCAGTCATAGCGTAATCAAATACACTCAGCTTATGCCTTCGTACATAGCTGACACTATTAAAGAGGCCTCGCTTTCGTTCATAGCAGGATACACGTATGAAACAGGATTCTCTAACCTTTTATGTTTAGGGACAAACTGATTTGATGAGCATAACGACATGTCTGTGGTATTAGTATCCCAACGCATTCTGCGCAGATAAACTAGAATGCTACAGTGTATTGTGAGTATTCTAATGCGACTCCTCCGAACAGACCAAAGCTTTACTTTAAGTCTTGTATGAAAGCACAGGAGTGAAACCTAATTTACCTCTTTCCCTTCTCTTAAGCTGTTCAACATCACAACTGTGCCAATGTCATACTGTGATATCATACGCCAGAAATCTTCAACAGTGTTATCCAATGGTGCCTGAGTCAGAATATACGCGTTACGTTGTCTGTAGTCCTAGAGCAAGATGAAAGAAAGTAACAGAATTAAGGGCAAAAACGGAATTTTTCAACCTCAAGTTCTCTTACGTAAGCTGCCTTCAGAATCTAAAACTGAGTTCGCTTGGTAACAACATATGTATATCCCACAAGAACCGATGAGTTCTTCGTAATCCTACTGTGAATTTTTTATTTATTCACCCAAAAAAAATGCTGTAAATCTTAATTAATTAAACTTACGTCCACAAAGGAGGCATTGACGTAGTCCTTGTCTGGGTCAAAGGACTTCAAGAACACTCGAGCAATGTCCACTAGTACAGAAGAACAATGATGAAAACTTGTAAAGTTACATATCATTGAAACAAATGAACACAACAGACCGCCCACCTTTAAAGTTTAACCACTTCATTCCTAGAATCACGCCTAGAGCAAATTAACGTAGCCGTGATTACAGACGAGACGAAAAATAACGAAAGCTACTGCGCAGTGCTTTCATGTACTGCTGTTTATTACGCTATACAAGGTTGTTCAAACTTTTAAGTCTGTGGATGAAACCCTAGTGTGTAACCATTCCAGCAAAAGCTATTGAGCAGTACTTTGCAGTGGTCTTGTTTGTTTTCTGAATATAATACATAAAATTCTATACTTGGCCACTTTTCGAAATAACACGCACAACGAATTGTTAAGTTAGGAATAAGTTCAGTAGGTTGTTGGGAAAGTTACAGGTCTGATATTTGGACAGATCATTTCCAACGGAAACAGCTACGATAAGACAAAACAACAGCTTCATACGATAAATAGTTCACAATTTACAATTTAGTGTTATCACAATATGAGCCATCTACTGAAACCTCTTTTAGAGTACTGAACAGTCAACATCTGGTGAGACTTAATGAAATAATTTCAAAATAATTTAGATACACATGATCAGGCTGTAACTAAGGAAAGGACAATAAGAGGGCATGTGCCCTTATTCTAAATACCAAATCGTTTTACACCAACACTTTATTGACTTACATGGTACAATATTGGGAAATCTGTTCNCGAGAATCTATGTGAAACCTCTTTTTTCCCCTTACAAGTTAAGGAATTAAAAACTAGTCTGTCTTCTTGAAGATCATACAATCGCGAACTTAACTATTTATACACCATTTTGGTTGTGCCAACTCTTACAGTTCTTGAAAGTTTGAAGCGAGTCTGCACATAATATAAGTGAAAACACACGAATATCGAGTTTGACTAAATCACGGTTTTGTTATTCCAAACAGACGTCAACAGCAACACAATGTCAAAATTAGTTGCAACCAACGACCAAGCATGGAATATCCCACCAAAACAAAGTTGCGCTTAAGGTCTTCCTAATTACAACTTTAATAATTGAACCAGCTTGTTCGGTCTAGATGGCCGGATACTGGCCTCGTTCTTTTTTTTCCGTGTTTATGGACCTCGAGTCCGACTCGGTCCATAAACATGCAAAAAAGAACTTGGCCAGTATCCAGCCATCTTGACCTCACGCTTGATCAACAACCCATATATACAAAGTAAAATAATTTGAAAATTCATCGTTGCCACAGACATCACTTTTCAAAATTACCTGAATAATCCCTCACTTTCCACTGATAAAAGTATACTTTCCTCATCCACATAAATAGGAAATGTCATATACAGACGCGGCCTAAAGCCTGTCCCTACAGCTGTCCTTTCTACCCATTCATTTGAGCTGACAAGTTTCATCAAATTCACCATCTTCATCAAGGTGAAACAAAGTTAAGATCACAGTAAACCGAACTGCTTCTTCTTAGCCTTCAAAATTAAATCAGCGGTGTTATAATTTCAATTTTCCCTGGCTTTTGTTGAAAATGCCAGTTTCCCCGACTCAAAATAAGATTCCCTGACTTTTACCTGACCCCTTGAATATATTTTCCCCTGACCATTACCTGACTGTGACAACCCTGAAATTACTTTTAACCATGTCATGTACTAATTCATAAAGTTAAGTGTACTGTATTGCTGTGCAATTTAGTTGTTTCATGCCTATTTGTTCACTGTCGCATGTAAATGGAAAATAGGAACTGAAAAGCAACGACAGCGGCAAATTCTTACAATAGACACATGGATGCTGAGGAACTGGAACCACCGTTATACCAGCAAACTAACGGTACTTCTAAGTGCTTCCTACCTCATAATTATAATACTATAAATTATACCAATCTAATTTACTACTAACCATCTACAAAAGTAGAGGAGAACGCTTTCTATTTCACTTTAATAATACCAAATACCAAAGGAAAATAGTTAGAAAACAGGTTCATGCAAACTTATTTTATACTTCACATCAGAGTTGAACTCTGCATTCCTCTGACTGTTTAACAGTCTGCGAAGTTTGCATAGGTGTTGAATGAGTCCAGGTATGCTAGGATTGTCTGGTAACAGAACATGTATTGTTCCTAAAAAAAATGAAAAGAATTACCGCCTTAGCTTAAGAGTGATTTAACAATTTTCTAGTGTCGAGTTTACTCAATGCAAAACCAAAATAATTCTGCAAATTCTTTCCCTTAACTGATGCAACTGTTTCAACATCAGTAACAACGACTGAATGGACCTAAATATAATAGCTAAGGGAGGGATCAATTGACTTTTGAGGGGAGGGGAGATTTGGTATAGGCAGGAATTTTTTAACACTTTCATGCACTAGAAATTTTTTGTTCTCGGATGGTGTATATGCAAGAAATGCTGTTTTCGGCTAACTGAAAGTGTGTGAATTTTTTTCGGCAGTGGTCGTCTGCAGGAACGTTCTTTTAGTACAACTACGCTTGCAGGATAATTTTTCAAAATTATTCACCCTCTACCGGTCAAAAGTCAAATGATCCACCCCCTAAAAACGCCTTTTTGCAGGTTAACGTGTCACTCTAAGTTAAACCAAGAAAGGAAGATCTCAGGAAGCCACTCCTTCATACGTCAACCTCTACATGTAACAATGATTTTTTTTGACTTTTATTTACAAAGAACAAACAACCACCAGCCTATTTTAAGGAAATGCCAGGTTAAGTTAGCGCTGTCACGCAGTACTAAACATCGTGACATCAGACGGCGTTTTCGCCAGACGCTACGTCACAATAATACACGAAAATTCTGACTGTTACTACGAGTTATGAGGTCACAAGTAACAGGTACCAAGAATGCTTTCCATTATGCAAAACCGACCGGTCAGAGATCAGTGGGAATACACGAGGAAAATGGAACGACATTTTCCGATTAAACCGGGCCAACCAATAGGAATGGCTCTTGCCATTTTTTAATTCCTTTTCCGAATTCCCTAATTAGGGGAAAGAACCAGTTTGTCAAAAATGGAACGGCGAATTTCGGTAGCAATATTCCAACCGAAATAAGTGGACCATCTCCAGAGGTGATCCTGAATATTCCGGTCGGAAGAAACCGAAACGGACCTTTCCATTTGAATTCCGACCGAAATTTCCGGAATCTTTGGCAAAATGGAAAGCACCCCAAGTATCTCGTGGTGCAAAACTAATAATAGGTTTCACAAAATCGTCATAGGGCCCTGGTTAGACTAAATAGCAGCTTACCAGAGTTATGACAGCACCAGGTCTCTTGGCTCGAATCAGCTTAACAGTCTGAAACACATCAACTGTTTGTTCACTCTTGACTCGTTCTATCACTGACATTATGGTGGACACACAGCCACTGCGACCAACACCATCACTGAAGAAAATGAAATTCCATCATAAAGTGAATATTAAAATATGTAAGGTAAAACGCATAGTTATAAACTAATGTTGAACTCAAAACTCTTATACTGGAAGACAAAAACGTTGGTTTCCTATGCAGACGGAGGCGCTCTTTGGGAGTTTGGACTCGTCACGCAATCTTTTCTCTCTAACAAACATTCATGGTGGGGGGTGGTGTTACATGTTTTGCACAACCTTTCTCTTAAACAGCACGCACTAAGTCATGAGGTAATACGATGCGGCCTGTGGGACGGGAACAGCTTAAAATCTACTATTCACCTGCACTGAAAAACAATGACGCCATTTCCGGTTTGTTGCTGTGAATGCTGTATGGCAGTCAACAGTTCAAGGATTTCCTGGGTATCTGGGCACGAGTGAGAGTTGGCCCATCCAGTGAACTGTAAATGGTTTACAGTAGACGTCTTCTTGGGAGGCTAAGAAGTAAAACAAGAAATAGCAATGTTAAGTTTCTGGGTTTTCTTTGGTTAGTATTGTTCTTCTTTATCTTGCTCTACACCACATGTCAATTTGTACTTTAGTGATGAGAGTACATAAATATTTAAAAATGTCTTTGGCCACGTGTAAATGTTGAACTCCAATAAGAGACTCAATCGGTTCAATTAAGCCCTCTGTTTGAATTTTTTTGGCTGACAAGTTTACTGACGTTTTATCAAGGCAAAAGAGCTCCTTATAGCTCTTATTTGCTGGCAGTGGACAGATAGCTATCGGCTTGTTAGAAGACCTGACCTACACGATTTGCTATTTGATAGACAGACGTTTGCGCGACAGTATTTGAAAATAAAGCACATTGTTGATGAAGATGAGTAATAGCTGTTATACATGTCAACATCAGACTAGCTAACTTCACCACCAAGACTCGCTTTGAAAATGCAAATTGAAAATTTTATCACGAACAAATTCCAAAAGCTGCAAAGATAGAAGGTACATAGAAGTGAAAACAACACGACGGTGCGAGAAGTTTGAGAAAATTTCGCGCAAGAGGCTCGGGGTTGAATTTCGTGCATGTGACGCTATCATGCATAAGATCTATAAAAGCGGCCTTGATTATCTACCACTTATATTGACACAGAGCACATGGGTGTGTCATCTCACTTTTAAAAGACATCTCTTCTAAGGAGCAAATCATACCTCTGCATTCGATACACTAAACTTCCTGGTTGTGATCTTATCTGAAGTGTTTTCCGACAGAATCTGTATCGTGATGTCTCCATGCTTGACCTGAGAACTTTCTGCGGGCCAATACTGTGGATAACTCTAAAGAGATACAGTAAAAAGAAAAAAAACGACAACAATAAACGATGAACCATTTAAGAAATTTAACTGATTAAATGATTTGGAATACTGTTGGTATGGCCCCAAGGAGACAGGATCTTGAATGTTGAATTGAAGGATTTTATGTTTTAAAAAGACAAACAATTTCGACTGTTTGTTGATTTCAGATTTCAGATTCAGATTTTTTTATTGTTATGTACTATTTCTATTATTATTACCAATCAATCTATATATAAATATGACATAATATTAACAACAAGAACACACAGAAACAAAAATTACAAGCCTGCAAACCTTCAAGAAAGACAAGAAAACAATTGAAATACTGTGGTACACATATTTGCTTGTTTTGTCTTTTCTTACTAAGATTATGTCCCACAACTTAAGTTCTCGAACGGTTCAGTTAAATACCTTTAAAAGCAGGTTTACGAATAATAAAGAATACCTGCTACACGTAGATATTTTGTTAAAAAAAGGTATATAACAACTAACACGAATATTTCCAATCTACGATAGGAATCCAGTCATAGCGTAATCAAATACACTCAGCTTATGCCTTCGTACATAGCTGACACTATTAAAGAGGCCTCGCTTTCGTTCATAGCAGGATACACGTATGAAACAGGATTCTCTAACCTTTTATGTTTAGGGACAAACTGATTTGATGAGCATAACGACATGTCTGTGGTATTAGTATCCCAACGCATTCTGCGCAGATAAACTAGAATGCTACAGTGTATTGTGAGTATTCTAATGCGACTCCTCCGAACAGACCAAAGCTTTACTTTAAGTCTTGTATGAAAGCACAGGAGTGAAACCTAATTTACCTCTTTCCCTTCTCTTAAGCTGTTCAACATCACAACTGTGCCAATGTCATACTGTGATATCATACGCCAGAAATCTTCAACAGTGTTATCCAATGGTGCCTGAGTCAGAATATACGCGTTACGTTGTCTGTAGTCCTAGAGCAAGATGAAAGAAAGTAACAGAATTAAGGGCAAAAACGGAATTTTTCAACCTCAAGTTCTCTTACGTAAGCTGCCTTCAGAATCTAAAACTGAGTTCGCTTGGTAACAACATATGTATATCCCACAAGAACCGATGAGTTCTTCGTAATCCTACTGTGAATTTTTTATTTATTCACCCAAAAAAAATGCTGTAAATCTTAATTAATTAAACTTACGTCCACAAAGGAGGCATTGACGTAGTCCTTGTCTGGGTCAAAGGACTTCAAGAACACTCGAGCAATGTCCACTAGTACAGAAGAACAATGATGAAAACTTGTAAAGTTACATATCATTGAAACAAATGAACACAACAGACCGCCCACCTTTAAAGTTTAACCACTTCATTCCTAGAATCACGCCTAGAGCAAATTAACGTAGCCGTGATTACAGACGAGACGAAAAATAACGAAAGCTACTGCGCAGTGCTTTCATGTACTGCTGTTTATTACGCTATACAAGGTTGTTCAAACTTTTAAGTCTGTGGATGAAACCCTAGTGTGTAACCATTCCAGCAAAAGCTATTGAGCAGTACTTTGCAGTGGTCTTGTTTGTTTTCTGAATATAATACATAAAATTCTATACTTGGCCACTTTTCGAAATAACACGCACAACGAATTGTTAAGTTAGGAATAAGTTCAGTAGGTTGTTGGGAAAGTTACAGGTCTGATATTTGGACAGATCATTTCCAACGGAAACAGCTACGATAAGACAAAACAACAGCTTCATACGATAAATAGTTCACAATTTACAATTTAGTGTTATCACAATATGAGCCATCTACTGAAACCTCTTTTAGAGTACTGAACAGTCAACATCTGGTGAGACTTAATGAAATAATTTCAAAATAATTTAGATACACATGATCAGGCTGTAACTAAGGAAAGGACAATAAGAGGGCATGTGCCCTTATTCTAAATACCAAATCGTTTTACACCAACACTTTATTGACTTACATGGTACAATATTGGGAAATCTGTTC